CTTGTTGTAAACTCTCTGTATTTCCATTCATGAAGGCTCTCTTTATAATAAAGTTTGACAATGATACATCTGCCTCCTCAAGAGAGTTCTTGGCTCGGTTAGATGCTATGAAGTTGTTTTTCTTAACCTTGGAAATAATTCTGTCATCACGCACTTCAGTTGTCTTCTGTGGTCTTTCAGGTCTTTTGGTGTTGGTGAGCTGATCGGTGTAAAATTTTAACAATACACCAGACTATTTGGGGTTGTCAGCCTAATGATGACCTCCCGCACAACAGTGAACAGCTATGACATACAAATTCAGTACTTTGAAGGGAACAGGTCTTACCTGGCCATAAAACTGCTTTGATTGTCTCATTAATTCTGAACTTCTGAGAATGCAGAACTAGATATAAAAATGCCAGATTTCTATTTGAATTAAGTTGAAATTTTGCACTTCAAACACATCTTGATTGTTTAATTTACAATTCTACAAAAATCGTCTCTCTAACTCTTGACCTTGGCCTTGTGGAAGAGACGGTACAGAAACGTTTACACTTGTAAGCTGGAAATCACAGGAATTGCATCTAACCTTGACGCTCTCTCTGTCTTTTCTTTACAGATTGCAGGCTTTATCAATGCGATCCATCCATTTTGCGGTGACAAAGAGAACCTGACAGCTTTCAGATTCTATGCGGTCAACCCCATCGTTGATCCTTGGGTCTTTATCATCTGCCGCAAGTCCGTGTTTCGCCACCTTTGCTCTCTGCTGAGCTTCCGCTTCAGTAAAGGAGCCGTAAAGACGACAGCACACTGCGCTCTGTCTTTACCCCTTGACAATGTCATACAACGCAACCCACCAGACACGTCAGTTCCACCAACCAACATGTATTCCAATTTACCTCGATGACCCACAAAAACCCATGGCAGTGCAAGGTAATGGACTGGAGGCTGGAGGACATTTCTATATGGAAAAAAACATTTAAGGAAAACTCTAAAATGAAATGAATGTATGAATCCAAAATTCCTGCACCTAGTATTTGAAGGCACAAAGACAAGACTGTCACAATTTAAATCTACGCGCTGCCGTTAAAATTTCTCCCTTAACTTTGGAAAAAATGACTGCACTAACTGTTAACTTTCCACTGATGGACGGAAGTTATTTGAACATTGCAAGGGGAGTTGTGCCATTAAAACAGCACTGTGACTTGGGACTAAGGAACACTTACAGTCATGTCAGGCCCAAGGATGACATACTGTAAAATCTGAATATATGCAGTTGAGGAAAGCTGTATGGAAATGTATGAATGTATAGTTTGTTTGTTTTTTTATCTCGATCAGTCGGCCCTTTCTTTAAGGCACAGTAAGTCAGTAAGTCTGTTAATGCATTATCTGTGTCTAAAGCATGGATGACATGAGATTTAGCTCACGCAACGGGCCTGCTTACACAGTTTATTTGGATGACATATGTGTGTAACAGATATACATGATTATTATTGAACTGTCCACTGCCCATAACCCAGAATAGCCTTAACAAGTCTGCCACCATGGATATCCCCATATGGAAATTGAATTAACTTACAGGAAATGTTTATATTTTGTATGTCTTGAAAGACTTGTGTGTCTCATACTACAACTTATGTACTGAAAATGTATTTGCGTGTCATGAAACATGAATTAAAAAACATATGAATTAAAATTTAATCAAGTAAAATTTATTATGCATAAGAATAAATATAGAACTAAATCACAGTGTGATAGAACTTTCTGTATATTAGGAAACATTTACTAATGGAGACAATGGGGCTGGAAATTTATTTTCCATATGGGGTGATCCAAGCTAAATGCTAATGATGTCAATGTTTGTTGTATGTGCAACATATGCTAATGTGTAGCAGATCCAGTGCAATGCTAATTACTAATGTGTCAGTGGTTATTATGAACGAGCATGAGTGAATCCAGTGAAGAACCCAAATTTGGTACATCAAGCACTTGATATGGACACAAGTACTGGGCCACCTAAAGGAGCTGCTCAGGAATGGAAACACATACCATGAAGCTCCCAGGGCACTATTCTCAAGCTGATGTTAACTCTGAAGTTACTGAGTCAGCAGAGAGTTACAGAGAATTACCGACCTCGCTCGGTACCTTTACGTGGCCTGCTTCTTCATGACTGAGTTGCTGCGGTTACTTAATGTTTCCACTTGCAGTAAAATCACTTGCAGTTGATTTTTTGGAATATCTAAGAAGGAAGAATTCTACAAACTTAATTGCTGCAGTGATGGTGTCCTATTACAGTACCTTTACTTGAATTCAGTGAGCTCTTTAGGACAACCTGCTTTCTCACAAGTGTTTGCAAAGGCAGACTTCGTGGCTAGGTGATTGATTTTGTAAACTTGTGGCAATGGAATAGAAAGCACCTGAATTTGAAGATTAACAGATGAAGCCTATTTTGTTTTTTTTGTCTATATAGTGTATTTTTATTTAAGACCAAAAATCTCAAACACGGGTTGGCACTAGACCAAAAGGTCAGTAGGTTTTTCTCAATTTTACAGAAAGGTCCCAAGGGGTCAAGCCTACATTTTTCTGCTCTGCATTGTGTTGACCAGACTCTGCTGGTGGCTTCAGAGACTTTCTCAGGCATCGCCCACGTTGTATTTACTTTCATATAAAGAAGCAGTAGGCAACAAAGTAGAGAGCACCTTATCTCGACTGAGGGATAAACATAGACTGTCCGTCTCAAGCATAACAACTTCCTGCAGAGGGGAGCCCTCAGTATGGGAGTAACAATAAAATCTGTAAACACGTGTAATGTCCCTTTTCTCCAAGAAAGTGTAAATGCTTCTACAGTTTATATCAGAGTCCCCTGAAATATCCTTTCTGCATTTAAAAAAAATCACATTGTTGTCAATACTTATGTATCAACTGTTCCAAGAGCAAAACCACTGTGACTGAAAAAATGGATTTCAGAAACGTAAACCTTTTACTTCTTCAGGAGTTAAGATTGCTTGACTCATAACACTGACTATTTTGTGTTTCATGTGTTTGTGGTTGTATGTGTGTGTTTTCTAAAAGACATCCTCTTCCTTTTACACCCATAAGGTTTAAGTGAATGTGAAAAAGTAATACATAAATGTTTATGTATATATGTTGGTACAGTAGAAGCTTTTCATAATTGTGCTCTGTTGGGGGGAAATTGTCGTAAAAATGGCCTATTCCTTTTACCACTTACTTTAGCATTTAAACAGTAATGTGAAGGTAAACCTGCTTTTTTTTGCAAGTCTAATAATAATGTTTTATGTTGAGAAACGAAAGGGATTAGTATAAGTTGTTGCTATTCCAAACCATCTCTGAGAGTTGGGTTACTTCTTTTTCAGAGAGGGTTTCATTCCTGTGGGAGTCCTGTTCATAATGTCACTGTATTGCTTGAACATTGCATTCTCCTTTTCTTCCTCCTTTTCATGGATCTCTAAACTACCTATGATGATTGTGAATGTCATTTTAAGAGCTTTTTGCTTTTAAAAATTCTGTGCTGCTGCAAAATGCACTGTGAGAATTAGACTTTTAACTTTAAAGCTGTAACTGTATCCCTGTGCTGTAAAGCTGTGTGTTTTAATGATTATGTAAGTTTGATTTATGCAAGTGCAAATGTATGAGTACGACAAAAATTCAGATTTTTTTTTTCTTCAAAACATTTTGTTTTCAATCCATATTCACGTTTTGATTTCACTTATGCTCAGTCATGCATGTCTCGATGTTAGACACATTACCACCCACACATTTTGCTTTGAGGATGTAGTGTTTAATCATCAAGCTGTAAATCTGTTGAATTGAATGAAAGAATATCATTCATTCTATCATTAACATTTCATTCATATAAAATAAAATCTCATTACAGTTACAATCTTGTCAAAAACTCTTTTGTCCATGTAAAAACAAAGCAAAAGTGAACATCCTTACTTGCACTGTTTGTCTTCTATGAGACCCGATGTTTGAAGAACATGACATGACATTTAAGCCCTCATGCAGTATATATATATATGTGTGTGTTTATGTTCATTTATCTTTTTTTTTTTGTGGCAAGTAAAAGTTGTCATAAAAGTGTTGCAACAGTACAACGCACTTTTTGATTTTTATGTTAACCATATTAGAGGGAATATAACATGGAGGTCTTTGAGAAAGATGTGATCTTAATTTTTTTTTTTTTTTAAAGTATGAATGCTTTATAGGTTTATTCAGATGCATCACACATCACACTTGCTGATTTGAAATTTCAGTGAGATCACTCCAGATGCCGATGATGTGGTAAGAAAGTTTCTTAAAAAGTGAAATGCTGCACAAATTTCTGAAATAACAAGTAATCTGACATGATTCAGAGTGAAAGAGATGAAAATGAGGAACGTTTAAGAAAAAAAGAAAAGAAAGTGCCATATTAGCAGTGAATGACTCAGCAGTCGCATGATGGCAGCTGATTTTGTAAGTGTCATGTATTAATACTGGTTTACTGTTTTTAGAAACTCTTTATTTGTAGTTGATGAGTTTTTACCGTCATACTTTAAGAGTTGGGGGAGCAGCTGAACAGTTACTGGTACTGCAGCTTCACCTTGTGGTTACTTAGTGTAAACATCCCAAGATGGACAGATTATATTCCCAAGTGTTTCTTGTTTTCTCAGGCAGCCACACTTCACCACTAATTGAGTGTGGCAGAAAAGGGTTGTGTTGCAAGTCACGTTCATTCTTTTCTTTGATTGGCATCTTTTATGCTGTCCTTATATCCAGCATTTATTGTATCATTTTGTTAGCATATACTTAGTCACACGCCTAAGTGACAGTTTCAAAAATTCAGGAAACTCAAAATACAAGAGAACTTCCGTTACAGTAATAACACTCGGGATACTGCCAAATTTGTTGTAAAAAGGATTTTTTCACTTCTGATATAAACACACTTATAATAGGTTATCTAAACCCAATGTGAACTGAGTATCATTTTAACTTTTTAAACACACACAAAACAAAGTTTGTGATGTGAAATCAAGATTTACTTGTTATCTCAGTTCATACAGTCATGCTATATTATAGATATATTACAGATCCCAGTGGTTGAAGGGGAACCACTCAAATGTTGCTACACAAAACAGTGACTTTAGTTTCAGTGACTTCTGAGCATAAATGAGAATTTTTTAAAAACAGCTGCATCACTGTGGTTTGAGATATACTGAAACCCGACCACAGAAACTCTATGAATAATTTTGTGCTTCAAAAAGTTTGATTACGATGGCTTCGTGGGGCTGCAGTCTGAGACTGTAGAGAGATGTGGACCCAAAACGATCCATCCCTGTGCTGGCTACAAACAGCCCGGCATCAGGCAAGCTCGAGGCCCAGGCAGGATCCAGGCTTTGAGGCTGAAACCCGAAGTTGAGCAGAACAAGGAAGTGGACACAACCCCAGGAGCGCAGAAAGGCAAGAATTGGGGGAGATAAAGGAGAGGAAAGAGAGGAGTTTGAGGATGACGAGGTGTTGAAAGGGAGGAAGGTGAAACTGCCATACTGAAGCGCTTCTTCTCTGGCTTTGGAGAAGCTGAGGGAGGAGAAGAGCTGAAGGGCTGCACGGTTCATTTTGCCCTTTTCCTGAGGAAGAGGGGAGGATAGCGACAAATGTGAGAAAAATAAATACAATATACCCCAAATACTGCAACAGCTTTGCAAGAGTTCCAACTTCATTTGTGAAAAAAAAGTCAAAGAACAAATCTTATTGAGACATTTTTAGAGCACAAGCTAGCTTCATACTGAGTGTTTGGTATCTAGTAGCTCGTCCATCTCTCTGTGAGACATGCACATTTTCAGTGACGTATAATACAAGCTGCAATGTTTCAGATGACATCGTTAGCGGTTAAAATCATTCAACAATCAATTTAAAGTCTCAAACAAGGCTTTACCTTTGTTTTCTCCATGTCTTTATCATACTGGATTGCTGGTGATCCTGGCAGAGTCATAATCAACACCAGGAGTAACTTCTTCAGTTCCTGAGATGCGTTGCCTCCAACCTGTTAAAACAATGGAGAGAGTGACCATATAACAACTAACTTTCCAAACCAAAGCTGAAAAAATAAATATGTAATGAAAAGTAGTGCATAAGAGCTGCGGTTTTTAGTATCTTTGTCGCATCTTTGCCGTCTGATGCTTGTAAACTGTCACATAGAAAGCTGACTAAGGCTACGTTCACACTGCAGGTCTCAATGCTCAACTGCGATTTTTTGATCGAATCCGATTTTTTGTCTGCTTGTTCACACTACAAATAAAATGTGACAGCAAATGCCCTCTAGTGTGAAACCTCAAAGCGGCCCGCATGCGCAAAAGAAGACATCACACACACAACGCACTGTTTCGATCCAGACCAAACAGTATTGTTTGACTGATGGCCCTTAATATAAAGACTTGTTTTGGTCTTTACGTTTCCCAATTTTGCTTTAAGTTATAAAGTTATTTTGTTATTTACATATGGCCTAATAATGATCCTTATTGCTGTTTTAGAGGAGCGGTGCTTCAAAGGATAGTTGCAGACTCCTGTCAGAATCTGCAGATTATACAGTACAAATAAAATGTTCACGTTTCTCCAACATTGTCTTCCCAACAGTTTCACTGGATGGCCAGGAAGCGTTCGCGATGTCTTCTCCGGCGCTGATAATTGGCGTCTGTCTTGTGTCAGTGACGTAAAAGACGGATTTAATGCGACATGACCATTCAAACAGCAGTCGCTTTCTAAAACATCAGATATGTATCGGATTCAGTACCACATACGAAAGTGACCCAGATTGGATTTGAAAATATTGGATTTGTGCCGTTCACACTGTCATACCAAGATCGGATATGGGTCGCATAAGGTCAAAAAAGTCGGATTTGATGCGCTTTCGCCTGCAGTGTGAACATAGCCTAAAAGAACGTTAGGGTTGAGCTGTTCAGTCAGAAACAGATAATACCACTAGATTGAGCAATATGCACATTAGCTTTTCTGACATTTAATAACACAAATAACAGGTTTGCTTATAATGGAAAAAATGACTTGATGCAGTCAATTAAAATAACTATACAAGGATTTTAGGAAAATTTGCAAAATCTGTAAAATAAGCATTTTTCTATCAAAATATACAAGAATCTTATAGAGAAATCTTACCATCCAGCTGGGCCATATATTATCTCCTCTTGTTTGTAGGTGTCTCTCTACAGCACCAGCCACTTCCTGTGCAAACAGTGGGTGATGTGAACGAGGGAGAATGGACCTCATGACCACATCCACCAGTGTAACGTTGACCTGACCGGAGCCATTTAATGGACGCAGAACATCTGCCGTCTGTCTTACCACGACAATCCTGAAATTAAACATTTTTTTTCCAGCAATCCTTGAGCTTCCTTTATAACATAAAAAAAACTCTGTATTTACATGCATAACAACACCTTTCCTCTTCCGGACTACTGAATTCCCCAAAGACACGTCTCCACTCCAGCAGAGTCTGAAAAGTACACATTTAATTGGGAAAACTGAGCCTATGGTAACACGACTTGTAGCTAAATTCAAAACTAGTCAATATCATTTTACCTTTTCTGAATATGCTGCATCAGTGTCACAGATAACAAAACCTGCCACACCTTTTTCCAACCAGAAGTGGAGTGCACGCTGTGGAAAGAATATCCATTTCATATTTTATGAACTCCTGACTGAGTGCATGATCAGAAAGCAGGTTTTACCTGTGTGGTAGCTGAGAGGTTTCCAGTTACATCCTGAAGTGCCAACAGATCCCGTTTACACAAGTCAAGCACAATTTTGAGACCTACAGGACCAGCATGAAGCCTGTTAATCAGTAATAAAAGGCCCATAAAACCACGTCTGAATGCCATTTGCAAATAAAGAAAAAAAAAAAAAAGTTCTTTACTCACCTGCTTTGTGGCTCTCACTGAGCAGATGTTGCATCCAAGCCAGTGGAGCAAAGTTTTTATCAGCGGCAGTGAGGTTTAAAGGAAAGACCTCAACATCAAACACACCCTTCAGGATTAGAGCCCCTATACTCAAAGACCTGAGGTAGGGAAGCTGCTCATGCATTGCTTAAAAAAATACATATCAGAAAGGGTTACTTATTTTTAATCAGAATGCCATGATATTCAGTTTCCTCATGTGATGGGTTTGCATTCATGTTTATGTCAGTAGAGCTGCTATTTATCATTTATACTGAAGAACATGTTGCACACAGATGCTCATGTGGGATTAGAAAAATTCTATTTTCAAAGCAAAAGCAACAGCACTTTCTCTGACTCTCATAACTTGATACAATCATGTGGTAGCTAACAGTATTAATCACACAGTCAGATTAAGTAGTTATCAGCACAGAGAAGAACCCAGTGCAGCTTTTGGCCTCACAGTAATAGTGAAACTGTTTAACTAAAAGCAATAAGTGGTGCAAATACAGCCACACTTGCACATTGCATTTTTGGGTACACTAACATTTGTGTGGTTTTAAAAGCCATTATTGGCCCTACCAACATACATGCGATGGACAAAATAATGGAAAAAATGGTTTTAATGAAAACTGATGACTGCAGCGTGTTGTGTTCGTGTTGTCGTGACTGCCAGGAAGCAGGTAGTTAAGTGATGGTGAATGAGGTTCATCTAAGGCTGTGCACGCTGCAAATTTTGATATAGATCAGATACCATGTAATTACGGGGCCAATGCCTTTAAATTATAAAGGCAGCTTGTGCAACATGACTGAGATGAATCATCAATTTGTAAATTCTGAACTAATTTTGATCAGTCACTGTGGTTTTCACTTTCCAAAATAATCAGTCAAAGCAAAACATTTTTCAGTTTCTCATGTATTTTGAAAATGGGGAACTGGAATGTAAATGTGTCCGTCTTTAAAGCACTTTGGGCCAGGCTATACAAAGATTCAGACATTTTTGTAGTGCATGTTTGAAGTCCCCCCCCCCCCTTCATTTTCAAAAAACAAACATAAATAAATAATTGACCACAATTTAGTGGTCTAAAATTGAACTAAAAGGATCGAAACAAAGTATCTATCTTATCGTGCTAATATCGATCCAATATTAGCGTCGGAATAGAATCTATCGATATTTGAATTGATCCGCCCACCTCTAAATTCTCCATCATGTCAATTTTTTAAGCATAGAAATATTAAACCCAAATTTCAGCATTTTATTTTATTGTCCTACCGCACATGCCCTCTGAACCCTCGGTCTGCGCCTCCGTCCACTGGTCGGCCTGCAGCTGATAGAACACAGACTCCTGCCACCATTTCAAGGGCGTCGCAACCGGCCGGGGGCTCTTTATTATGATGGCGATAGAAGTGGCAAGTATGGTGACCCAGGCGAGCCAGAACAGCAGCACCAGGTAACAGCGCACTTTCCTCCAGCCAGGCCCATCAGCTGCCTCTAGCTCCTCTCTCGTCATTGGCCTCCACAGAGAGTCGGACTCCGGAATGAGCAGAAGGCATGTCTCTGAGGCTCCCGACGGCACACTGCCATAACACACATGCCCTGCGTTCACGGGCATCTCACGCTGCTGCAGGTGGGTGACAACCCGTTAGATTAAGGGGATTATTTTAACTTTAAATGAACATTTAGACACTCAAGCCGAAGCACGCAAAAGCTGTCCAACTGTCGCTTAAGTTTTCTTTGGACTCGCTAAGTTCGTCTCTTTCAGTAACTCGCTGTTTCAACGCGACACTGAGCACAATCACAAGGCAGCTTTGTAATGAGCTGCACCTACCTGCCTGACTCAGGTTCAACAATTAACCTGACACGCAGTCCTGTTGTCCCACTTTCTTACAGTGGTGGCGCAGTGAGGGACAACGAGTGTCCTTGTTCTCTTAAACAAGATTAAGCGTTTGGAGAGGGGGGCAGCACAGGAAGGACTATTCAAGATTTAATTTACTGATTATTTCACATCATTCTAGTTTGTCTTTTTTCAACACTTTTATTCCCTCGTGTACTCTGTGCTACTAATTGCTCGTGGGCATGTTTCCTCTTGTCCTTAGCTGCCCCTTAAATTAATTTCACTGGCAGTGATGGAAGGCAGAATTAACAGCTCTGAGTCAGCGCATGCAGCTCTGATGAGCTAAAACTAAAATTAGTTGAATTCTGGAAAATTGTATTCTTGCAGCACAAATTCACAACAATGGTCACTTAAAGGCACTTTACTATAGTCAGTGTTGGGGAGTAA